GTGAGGGAGGCGATAAGTTACGCGCCAAGGAGCAGGGGGGGTCAAGAGCGGGCCGCGAGGTTTTGAGCGGGGGAGCAGGGGGTCGACTTTCGCGCCGCCTTTTCAGAGCTCCATGCGCGCCAGCAAAGGCGGCTCCTCTCTCCATCGCCATGCCGCGCCAACAGCGCTGCTCCAGCCCCACGGCCTCCGGTCTCTCCGTGCCCCACTGCTCAGCGCCGCGCCGCCCTCGATGCGCGCATAGGGGTTGGATGTGTTGGGCACCATGCCCGTGTTGAGCTGCCCGCTTGCGGCGAGCGCCGAGTAAGAGGGGCAGTGCGAGGCCTGGGCGCCGGCGAGAAAGGGCGCGCGGCGGTGGCGATGCGCGTGCAAGGCGCCGTGGTGGGAGCGGGGAGAGAGAGAGATGGAGGAGGTGAGGGTGCTGTTGCTGCTGCTGCTCCTGCCGCTGTTCGAGGCGCTGCCGGAGCTGGCGACACTCGTCGCACGTGCTGTCGCACCGGCAGCGCTCGTGGCGCTGCTCGTCGTCGCCGGCGCCTCAATGTCGCTCTCGCCGCCGCCGTCGTCGTCGCTCGGATCAAGCGGACAGCATGCGGCGTCTTGCAGATCCCACACGCTGCCGCCCGCCGCGGCATCGCTGTATCCGGCCCACTCGCTGCATGCGACGCGCGCGTACGTTGCGTTCCAGACGCTGCAGGGGGACAACGAGGGTCAGCGGCGGGAGTGGCGTGCGGCTATGCGAGAGGGTTCCGAGAAGTTGGACGGTGAAGACTGGCTTGCCCTTGGGCCCTCTCGTCCTTGCCTCCTGCCTTCTGTCGCCTGCACAGCAAGAGCAGTACCAGACCAGGCGCTGATCCGGTTCGACATGCTCGTGGGCAGGTGTGACAGGAGTGTGCGTGCCATGTCTGCCAGTTCTGCTCCTTGAAAGCCACAGGCTCGGCATGTCCCTTCTGGAAGCCTTGCACTGGCTGCCAGTACCTCTCGAGGCAGCAACGCTCCAAGTCCGGAATGCCAATGCGGACGGCCATCGCACCGCCAGGGTGCTCTCGCAGCAGCCATCGCGCCGGCCGCTTTGCCTGCTTCCTTCTTCTCGCCATTCCCGGCGATACTGGCTCCTTCTTTTCTTCATCCGCTCTGCCACGCTGCGCCACCCTGCCTCCAACTCACCCATAGTCGCGCGTGCCGGGAAAGAAGTCCTTTGCGATGCCCTTTGCCGGCCAGGCCAGGTCCCAGTGCACCTCTGCGCCCTGGGCGTTGGGGCGCGCCGCCTGTGCCGCACAGTAGTCGGTGCCCGAGCCGTCGCCGGGACAGACGTCCGTCACCTTGACGACGACGGATGCGCGCCGCTGCTGCGCGGCGTCGAGCACGTAGCCGTCGCCCGCCGGCGGCGGCGGCGAGAGCGGCGTGGAGAGCAGCGTGAGGCGGTAGCATGCGCCGCACGCGGGGCCGAAGGAGAGCAGCGAGCCGTATGCGGCGCGAGAGAGCGCGGCGGTGGGGTAGTCTGTAGAGTGCGGGGCACAGCCGCAGGAGGCGAGATAGAGCGACGGCAGGTCGTAGTGCGTCACGGTGGCCCAGCCGGACGAGGGCAGCGCATGGGCGAGGCGCAGCAAGGCGAGTGAGGCAGCGAGATGGAGGAGCAGGCGCATCGTCGCGCAAGCGAATGGCTGCTGGACGCAGTGCAAGATGAGGCAGAGGCAGAGACGGAGCAAAGGAGGATGGTGGTCGAGAAGGACAAGCCGAGGCACTTGCACCCCTCGAGCTCGACGTCGACTTGCCGCACGAGATCATTCGCTGCCCGTTGCCGATCCTCGCGCGCCAAGCGAGGCACGCGCCGCGCCGCCCCGCCCCGCTTTCCCCGCACGCGCCGCCAGCGTCACCGCGGCCCGGCCCACGCCCGGCTCAGCGCGGGCCGGAGCGGGCGCCTGCTCCTATCACGCGTGCGGCCTGGCACGCGGGCGCACAGCTTGCCTCCTCTCCACATCCCCCACCTCACCCTCGCCCCTCACTGCCAGCCATGTCCGACAACTTCATCCACGCCGCCGCCGGCGGCGCAGGCGGCATGATCGCCATGACGGCCACCTATCCGCTCCTCTCCATCTCCATGCGCGCCGCCGTGCAGACGGACAAGAGCAGGCACGTCGGCATGCTGCAGGCCGCCCAGCAGACGCTCGAGCACGAGGGCGTCGCCGGCCTGTACAGCGGCCTCAGCAGCAGTCTCGTCGGCATTGGCGTGACCAACTTGTGAGTGGCGCCAGGCATGGCGGCAGCGTGGCGCCAAGCATGGGGGCAGCAGGCGCGCCAGGCATGGCGGCACAGCGATGCGCGGCGCCGAGCATGGCGGCGTAGCTAGCGCGCAGCAGAGGCGCTCAGCACGGCGCCTCTCTCGGGCGAGGCTCTCTCTTCCTCCCTGGCTCACGCCTTGCGCTCAGCGTCTATTACTTTTTCTTCGAAAAGTCGCGCTCCCTGCTGCTGGCGTCCAAGTCGCGCGCCCTCGCCGCGGCCAACTCGGGCAAGGGCGCCAGTGCCGGCGCCGTCATTCTCGCCGGCGGCGCCCTGACGACGGCCGAGTCGATGCTGGCGGGCCTCATTGCCGGCTGCGCCACGAGCATCATCAGCAATCCCATCTGGGTCATCAACACGCGCCAGACGGTGCGCGCGCCCGCGAGTGCGGCGGGCAAGGCGGGCGCAAAGAGTGGAGCGCAGGGCAAGAAGGACGTCAAGATGGGCTTCTTCCAGACGCTGAGCCACATTGTGCACAAGGACGGCGTGCTGGCGCTGTGGAGGGGCATTGGGCCCGCGCTCGTGCTCGTCATCAACCCCATCCTGCAGGTGAGTGGCGCGCGTGGAGGGGCGCGGTGGGGGAAGAGAGGAGGAGAGGGCAAGCGGCGAAGATGCGGCGGACAGGCAAGTGGCACAGCGGCGACGTGGCGAGCAGCGGACAGGGAGCAGCGGGGCAGAGAGCAGCAGGGCAGAGAGCAGCGGGGCAGAGCGCACTGGCCACAATCGCGCGTCTCCATGCGCGTCTCGCCATCTCACGACCCCTTGCTTCTCTCCTCTTCCCGCATGACTTTTCTCACCTGTCTCCTCTTGCAGTACACGGCCTTTGAGCAGCTGAAGAACGCGCTAGTCAAGGCGCGCGCTGGACGGGGTGCAAGTGTGAAGCTGAGCGACTGGGACTTTTTCCTCCTCGGCGCGCTCAGCAAGCTGTTCGCGACGGGCCTGACGTATCCGCAGATCGGTGAGTTCGCTGCCGCGAGAGAGGAGCGGGAGAGGAGAAGATGAGGGGGGAAGATGAGGGGGGAAGAGGCGGAGAGCAGTGGAGTAGCGGTGCGAGAGAGGGCGCAAGGATAGCTCGAAGACGGAAGGACGCGAAGCGAGCACAGAGCTTGGGACGAGCGCAAAGCAGCGCAGAGAGGCTCCGCATCGACAGCGTCTGGCTCTTGGGCGCGCTAGTTCAGCAGCGTCTGCTCGGCATGCACCGCGCACCTCGCCTTCAGCGCCTCGATGCTCACCTCCTCTCCAGTGATCAAGTCGCGTCAGCAATCCGGCTCGCACTCCAAGGGCAACGTGTGGACGGCCATGACGGACATCATCGAGCGCGAGGGCGTCTCTGGCCTCTACCGCGGCATCAGCAGCAAGTTGCTGCAGAGCGTCGCTACCGCTGGCATCCTGTTCGCCAGCAAGGAACAGGTGTTCAGAGCTGTGAGCGCGCTCCTTGCGAGCAGACGCGCGGCGGCGGACGCGGCGGCCAAGGCGGCGGTCAGTGCGGCGGGACAGGCGGCGAAGGCGGTCAAGTGAGGAGGCAGGGACGTGGCACGATGGAGGAGGGGAGCAGGAGGTGGAGGCTCGAATCGGATCTGTTTCAATTGCTAGCTTTGGAAGGAACGTGCGTGCGTGCGTGTATGTGGATCAGAGGCGTCGACGAGGGGGCCGAGGATGAGGCTAGGGAGCGTGCATCGCGAGATGCAGGCCAGGCGAGCGACACGACTGCGAGCAGCGACGTGTGTGTGCGCTGCAGTCGCTGTCGGAGGCCCAGCTTGCTCACGTGCGACGCTTAGTCGCGCAGCGACGAGAGCTTGGGCGCGCCGGGCGAAGGCTCGGAGGAGTACTTGGTCGTGATGAAGGCCTTCATGATCGAGTTCTCGTGCGCGTCCTGCTTCTTGTAAAGCAGCGCCGTCTCCTCGAGCGGCAGGCGATGCGTGACAAAGAGCGAAATCGGATCGATCTTCTTGTCCACGAGCATCTGAAGAAGCTCATCCCAGTATTTGTGACTGTGTGCGGGCGGCGAGGGTTAGTGCATGGACGGGCAGGCGCGGAAGGCGCGCAGGACGCGTCTCGGACGCGACCCGTCGCTCCTTCGCGACGCCGGGATGACGGAGGAAGCTCTGTATACTTTCACTGGCGCTTGACCACAGCCGATGAAGCGAACGCCCTTCTCCATGACTGCCCCGATAGCAAAGCCTGCGCAGAAAGAGTGAGTACGGCCTCGGAGGGTGTCCGAGGGAATTCCAGGGTCGCGCAATGTCCCCGAGTCAAGCCGAGGAAGCCACTCACCATTGCAAAAGCCAGTATAGATGCCGGTCACACCAACTAGAAGGCTCACAAATCAGCAGGCGATCACAGAGGCCAAGGTAAAGTAGTAGGCAAAGGTCGACTTACCTCTGCCGAAGTTCTTGACGCTGAGGATGCACTCGTTTACGATCTACCCCGCGTTCGCATTAGCAAGCGAGCGTACGAGCAAGCGCTAAGCAGCAGCTCACCTCAGGAGTGTCGAGTTCGAGGCCCACGGCAAGCTGCGCCTTGTGCAGCAGGCTCTTGGCGTACTCGCCCGCTACGTGGAGAGGTTTCAGCGATCAACGAAGAGCAGGACGACGCAAAGCAAGCAACAAACCTGCGCATTCCAGCGCGACATCGACTCCGGGGACCTCCTCGTCGCGTGTGAGCTCTCTGAGCTTCGCCGGAACATCCTTGACTTGGGAAAAATCGATGGTCTCGACTTCGGGGACTGCAGGACGGGAGCGTGAGTACCGAGCGGCGAGAGACGACGAAGCAGACGCACTCTTCGACTTGGCGTATTCCAGACGCCAGTCACGGTCTGTGGAGAGATAGTAAGTGGCAAGTGGGTGAGCGGGAGACGAGCGAGCGAACCGATCAAAAAGACGCGCTTGGCGCCTTTGAGGAACGCCCAATGGGCGCAGAGGAGGCCACTGGAGGACGAGAGAGCGAGTGAGCGAGCGTCGCGCAGCTCCAGAGAGGCTGCGACTCGCATCGGGCCAGCTCCCCACACTGCGACGCAATCCCCATCCTTCACGCCAGTGTCGACCACGGTGTGATAGCTGGTCGGCAACATGTCGCTGAGGTAGAGTGCTGCCTCATCGGGCACCGAGTCGGGGATGGGCAGGCAGTTCACGTCGCCCCAGGGCACGCGGACCACCTCGCACTGTCCTCCGGCGACTGTGGGCTTACTATGTCAGTCGCTACACCTCACAATCACCTCAAAAAGCTCAGAAACATGAGCCCGTCAGATGGCTGTATCCAAACATGCCCGCCGTCTTGTGGCCGTAGAGCTTGGGCTCCAGAGAGCTGGCGTTCGTGTTGACGCACTGCGAGCTTAGACGTTGGCGGCAATAAAAGCAGCTTCCGCACTACGATGCGTCAGTGTGAGTGCCTGCACCCCTTCCGTCCTACTCACTGCAATCTGGAACGAGACAACGACGCGCTCGCTGGACAGCCGTGAAGGTCAGCAGAGCCTCTAGCGAGCACGCGAGGTCTTATGGAGGCCAGGGCAACTCACCCAACCTTGCGCTTGGAGACCTTTGATCCCACCTCGGCAATCACGCCGCAGAATTCATGTCCGAGGATGTCGTGCTTGTTCATCTCGAGTAGTGCGCCGTGCATTAGGTGCAGGTCTGATCCACAGACTAAGTTTTGGGTTAGTGAGGCTCTTCTACAGCCTCGCCAGCAAGCTCGGCAAGCTCACCAGTCGTGCCCGTGATGTTGATGATGACGTCGTGGTCATTGATGAGAACCGGCACGTCGCACTGCTGCATCTCGACCTTGTTAACTCCCTGCCAGGTCAGCGCGAGCATCTTCTCGCGAGGGCCGTCGGGCGCCTCGGGCGCAGGCTGGTGCTCGGGGTTGGCCTCGGGTACGGTGCCGTCGGTGTGCGAGGGCGCCATGCGCGCCTCGACGGCGTTGGCCACGGCGTTGAACATGGCGGTTCGATGGGTGCTGTGTGTGTGAGAGGTCTGAGGGAAGGGTGGGGTTGGTGGTGGTGCGGAAGGAGAGAGGAGAGCAGCCAGCGACTCGACTCGACGCGGCGCGCCCCGCGTCTTCCGCCTTGCCCCGCCCGTCGCTGCACCCTGCGCCGCACGCCTCGGGCGCAATGCCCGAGGCTAAAGGGGCGATGCGTGACGATGCCAAGGCTTGCTCTCTCCTCCCCTCGCGTGCTGCCCAATGCGCTCTGCATCTGTCGTGTGCCAGCTGCAGACCCTGAAGCGGGCGCCGACCCTTCGGAGGGTGCCCTCCACCTCGGGCGGCGCGTGGCTTGCCCCGCGCGGAAAGTAGAGTGTAAGCGTGGGAACAGCGGTGAGCCGCGGCAGAAGAAAGTGCGTCTTGCGCGTCTTGCCTTGCGCGTCTTGCGCCCCGGCCAGGCTTGCCTCCTCACCACCAGCACCTCGGCCCAGCATGGCCTCCTCCTCTCTCCAGACGCTCTGCGTGCCCGCGCCCATCCCCGCCACGCGTGCCGACTTCACGCTCGCCGAGCCGCTGCCGCTCACGCCCTACACCTTCGATGCCTCGCTCTCGGAAGACGAAAACTTCCTCACGTGGGTGACGATCCTCACGCGGCACTCGACGTCGCGCAAGGGCCACATGGGCACGCTCTTCGTGCGCCCGCCCGCCTCGGGTAATCCCGCAACGGAGACGTGCATGCCGGATGCGCAGTCTCGCCTGCTGGTGCACGCCAACAACACGCCCATCCTGTACGCCTCTGCCGCACGCAATGCGCCCGAGATTCACGCCGAGGCGCTGGCCATCTCGCGCGCCGCGCGCTTCGGGCTGGCGCTGGCCGGCTGCACCGTCTACGTGACGTTTCCGCCGTGCAACGAGTGCGCCAAGCTGCTGCTGGCCGTGGGCGTGCGGCGCGTCGTCTTCCGCAAGTGCTTCGTCGCCGGCGCAAAGGAGAGCGTGCTGGCGGCGGCGCGCGCGCAGGGCGTGGAGATGTGCGGCACGGGCGACGAGCTGTACAATCTGCCTGCGCCTGGCGAGTCGCCGCAAGAGGCCAAGCAGCGACAGGAGGCGTTTCGGATGCGCGAACGAGACGCAGAAGATGCGAGGGAGAAGCGCGTCAAGGCGATCTGGGAGGCGATTGGCGATGATGCGCAGACGACGAGGCAGCGCGTCAACGACTGGTGGGACACTTGGATGGCCGTCCATCGCGCCAAGCTCAGGGAATTGTGGCGCGAGTGGGGCGGCAATGGAGACGAGGGCGAGAAGCGCGCGCAGGAAGAGGAGAGGGAGAAGAAGAAGCAAAAGGAGGCGCGCAAGAAGGGCAAGGGCAGGCAGGATGAGGAGATGGATCTGGATGAGCTGCGCAACGAGAGCGAGACTGTTGCGGCGTCCTCGAACGCCGCTGCGCCGCACGAGGCACTCGACGGCGCGCACTCGACGACAGCGCCACTCGCCGCGCAAGACGCCTCGCATGCGGCGCCGCAAGCAGGACAGAAACGACGCAGCTCCGATCTCTCGACGGCAGCGGCGGAGCCCAACGGCGACGAGGCGCGAGCGTCGCCCGCGCAGCCGCAGAGCGCCATGCCGCTGGAGGAGCCAGGAGCAAGTCCGCCGCGCAAGATCTCGCGCGTCTGATCCCCGCGAGGAATGACATGCTTCTTTTCTCGATGTGCACGAAAGTCTCGGCGCGAGGAGAGGGACATCGGCCTCCGGCGGGACGTCGGAGATGGTGCCGCACCACGGTGTGCGAGAGAAGAAAGCGAAGTGCGACTCCGCTGGCGCCAGAGTCTTAGCTTCAAGAGGTCAATGCTGGTGAGAGGTACGGCAGAATGCCGAGCTTGGAAGACTGGCGGGCTTGAGAGAAGGCGGCAGACGACGGAGCGGCCCACAGCAAGCCGAGACGCGCCGTGCTCAGGGGCCAACCCGTCGCGCCCGCGGAGGCGCGCGCAATCCGGTCGCGATTGATGAGCATTGGCTCCGTCCGCCTCAGCTTGCTCCGTCTGCTTCTCACTACCATCACCAGAACTACCACCGCACCCTTTGCTGCGCAGCCTCGCATGTCTCAGCCAAGCAACCTCAGTGAGATGCGCATCTGTTTGCGCATGCGCAGTCCCGCTCACCCGCCTGCGCAGCCGGTGAAGCGCGCCCTTCGCCACTACGCCTTTCTCTCTGCGCCCTGTATTCCGACCCGGACGAGGTCCGGCAGGAACTCCACCGCAACGGGCTCGCCGACAACCACAGGGCCGATTTGGAGTATGTCCTCCAAGACTGCATACGCCGTCGAGCGGCAGCCGCAAGAGATGCGTCGCAATCGCATGCCGGCTCGAGCGCACGCCTCTCACACCACGCCTGCCTGCCGCCCGGCGCATTTCCGGACGACGTCGACTCTGACAACAAGAACAACGGCGTAACGCAGCAAGCGCGGCGCTCAGCACGAGACAGCACGCCCCTCCATGCCGGCATGTACGCTCCACTCGAGCCCGTCGGACGCTCGGTCAGGTCAGATGCGGCAGCACCAGCGGTCCAAGATGCGCCAGCGCCTTCCAGCTCTGCTCCTGCGCGCGCCGCGGCTCGTGCCCCTGCTTCCACGGACGCCGCCGCTCGTAGCTCTGCTTCTACGCCTGCTGCCACTTCTGGCTCTGGCACCACGGATGTCATTGCTCCTAGCTTGGACTCTGCGCATGTCTCTGCTCCCATGCAGCCCTTGGGGCAGCGCGAGCATCCGTACAGAGAGCCCGAGGAACACGCGTATCCATTCATCACCCTGATGCGCAAAGGTCAAGTCGTTGCTCAACGACTCCAGCTCGACCTCGACTATAGCACACAGCGGCAAGGATCCAACTTAAGCAAAGCTGCGTATAACTCTCTGTTTAACTCCAAGGACTGGCCAGATTCCCGGATGCGCCCATACTCGGGGGCACCACGCAGTTACCAAGCTCTCTTCCGCTGGCTCCACGAAGTCTTTGCTGAAAAGATCCAGCCACTGCACTCGCTACTGCATCCCAAGTTTCAGGCGCAGTTTCAGACTCAACTTCGTGCCCTAGAGACGATTGACAAGCACTTTGTCGTTGATGTGAGTGTGAAGACTTCTTCAACCCTCGAGATCTGCTACTGATGTCCCATGCAGCAAGGTCACTCTTGGGGACACGTAGAGCTTCATAGGGGCAGGGGCGAATCACTTGGTCTGGGTGGGACTCTGCGGCCGCTGCCTGCGATGATCCTGAACGCCTTTGACTTTGCCGCAACCTGCACGCTGGCTCTGAACAGCCAGGCGCACAGCCTCAACCCGGCTACAAGATCCACAATTGTGCTCCGCCCGGGCAGTGCGCTGTTCTTCGACTCGGAGCTCTACATATGCTACATCCTTCGTCCACAGTCAGCGCCAAAAGCGTGGCCAGTTGTTTCACTCGTCGTTACGGACGACGGAGCTGCCGGCGCCAAATGATTCTCCTGCTCCCTCGCACCGCACGCTGTTCTTCTCCATGCAGGCGCGATATCTCCGTCTCGTTTGGTCATGTGCCTCGCCGCGCCGCGTTCTCAACGTGGACCCGCCAGACAGTCTTTGCCGGCGCCATCGCGGCATGTCCTCCTCTGCCCAGACGCAAGTCGCGAGCACCATGAGTACGTAGGTCGCCGGTCTCTCAAGTACGCATGCTTGAGGTTGCGTGCAGTTGCGATGGCTGTCGTCCTGCTCGCGCGCCACCAGCCTCGCTGCGCTCTCTCTCTCCGACATTTCAGCTCTACCTCTCTGCCCCCGCCTCGCCTCAACACCTCTCCATCTCGCCGCTCTCTGAGCCGCCGAGCTTCTCGCCGTCATCGCAGCCCGCTGCTCCATCTCGACTTGCTTCCAGCTGCGTCTGCTCCTCGTCGTCTCCGCTGCCTCGTCTCGCTCGCGATGCCCACACCACATGTCTCGAGAATACGCCGAGCCATGCACGCCGCTCTCGACCAGCAAGCGTCTTTCGGGGAAGTCAGCGTCTTTCAACTTTTGCGCCTCGGCCTCTTTCCCTGTTCCAGCACGCTTTCTGCCGCTGCTGCAGTAGCGCCAACCCCCGAGCGTCGCTCCTCTTCCCGTTGGCGTTTCCGTTGTCGCGAGAACCGGAACCTCACAACAGCACCGTCACCACGCACGAGAACATGCACCTTGCTCTCACTCCCGCCGGGTCGCGCCGCGTCCTAGCAGAAAAAAAAAGAGGAAAAAAGGCTCACCGCTATCATTCCACCTCGTCCGCCTTCCATCCCAAACACCACACCGTAATCCAGGCGTTCCTCTGCCTGACGCCGCCCACCTCCTTGCGCTCCTCTGCCCGTTCGGCATCCTGCCACGGCCTGCGCGCGCCCGCGAGGCGCGGCGAATGTGCGCGGATCGCACGCGCGTGCGCTGCTGCTGCGGCAGTCGCAGCCGCGCCTGCGCTCGGAGCGTGCGTCGGAGGCGGAGGCGGAAGCAATGCGGCAGAGGCGGCGCTGTTGACGACGACGCCGACGCCGACGCCGTCGTCGTCGTCGTCGTCGTCGTCGTCGTCGTCGTCGTCGGGCGCCAGACGCAGCTCCAGCATGCACTCGCGCCTTCTTTGCACCTCTGCCTCCTCTGCCTCAACCTGCGCTGCTTGTTCTTCTTCCTTCTGCGGCGGCAGCGGCGGCCAAGGCCCCTCATCCATGTGCTTGAGCTCGAGGCCGGCGCGCCACGCCTTGCGTTGAAAGGCGCGCAGCACTTGCCTGCCCGTGTGCAGGCCCGACACTACGTAGATGCGCGCGGCGCGCGAGCGGCAGAGCGTGGCGAGGAGAGTCTTGAGGAGGGCGTCGTGCGAGAGGGGATCCCAGCTTTTTTTTGGCCGCCTCTGCATAAGCCACACGAAGGGGATGAAGGGGGGCACACGAAACAGTAACTCACAGACAGTCGGCGAGTAGAACTACATCTGCGCCCTCGGCTCTGCCCTGCGATGCGGGCAGCAGATCGAGCAGATCGTCGATGCCCTTGCCCCACGTATGGCCCGCCACGCTCACTCTCGTGCCTATGGCGGTGGCGGCGGCGTTGCGAGCCACATTCTCCCGCAGCCGCGCCACCAGGCCGCACTCGGCATAGTCGGTGCACACGACGCTCGCGGCGCCGGCGCGCGCGGCACAGATGGACGGCAGGCCCGTGCCGGCGCCGAGCTCTAGCACGCGCTTGTCGCCGACGATCGAGGAAGAGGCGGAGTGCAGGAGGAAGTCGGAGAGAAGCAGCCCGGCGCGCCACTGGCGATGCGCAAAGAGAAGCGGCAGCGTCGCTGGCGGCACGAGGAGCGTGATGGGCGAGGAGACCACGGAGGAGGAGGAGGAGGAGGAGGAGGGGGAGCAAGGCAGAAGCGGACAGGGGAGATAGGAGATGAGCGACGAGGGCTCGCCGAGCGAAGGCGGCGACATTGCAGGCCCGCCGCGCGGGTAAGTCGAACGTCCGAGGAGGAGGGGCGATGTGGAGGGAACGGGGCCACGGAAGGAAGCGCGGCGGTTGGACGCGCGTGGAGACAGAAGGCAGGAGTGTGATGTGAAAGGGAGGCAGGAGCCAGGAGCCAGAAGCCAGGAGCTAGGAGCTAGTCGCTGAGAAGTTGAGTGCGGCGCGCGGCCCTCGGTGCCAAGGCCGAGTGTCAAGGACAGGGGGAGATCGAGGATCGGAAGAAAGGAAGCGCAGGTGGAGCGGGGCTGGAGAATCAGCGCACCTCGCTCCCGCACGAGACGCTTCCCCGCGCGGCGCGCGCGTGCCCGGCTCGCCGCCAGCCGGCAGCCGGAGGAGCGCTTTGCGGGGGCGCTGCTCGCTGCCCGCTTGCCTGCTCCTGACACCACCACCACCACGCCCACACACGCCGACGCAGCCATGGCGCCGCTCACCACGTCGCTCGACGTCCGCCTCCTCTCCTCCACCGCCGACTCGGCTCGCTATGCCGGCGCCCTCGATGGGGAATGGACGATTGGCAGTGTGCCGAATGGCGTGCGTATGTGTGTTTGCGAGGCGTGTTGCGAGGCGTGTCTCTCCTTCCTGCCGCTAACGTCGTGCGCGATCGCAGGGCTACACTCTCTCCGCCATTCTCAACTGTGCACAGCAGTTCCTGCGCCTGCTCCCCGCGCCGGCAAAGGGAGGCGAGGCCGCGCGCCACGTCGATCCCATGCACGTCGCCGCCACGTATCTGGCCGCCGCGGCGGCGGCGCCGTACGAGTGTGGCGTGCGCGTCGTCAAGCGCGGCAGGGCATATACGCATCTGGAGGCTGAATTGGCGCAGCTGGTGAGTGGCCTGCACTGCACTGCACTGATGCTGCGAGCCAATTGAGAGAGAGGCAAGCTGGCCACCAACCAGGAGGGCGACCGGGCACAAAAGAGAGACGATGGGGAGATGATGAGAGAGAGAGGACTGCGCTGGCTGGCGAAAGGGCGATGGGGCAAGGAGACGATGCGGGGCGGGAAGCGCTGACTCGCCAATGACTTCTCGTCCCCCTTATCAACGCAAACAACAGTCGCACAAGGAAGGCAAGCAAACGCGTCGGCTTCAAGTGTCAATCATCATGACCTCCTTCTCCGTCCGCGCCCTCGACTCCTCTCTCACGCCTCACACCATCCCCCCAACCTCTCCCTTCTTCACTCCCTGTCCTCTGCGCCCTCCTTCCGCCTGCGTGCCCTCGCGCATCTTTGCGGGGCCCAAGCACGCCATGGAGCACCGCCTGGATTGCACGGAAGATGTGGAGATGAGAGAAGAGGCGTTGAAGCAGGGTAAATTGAGGTGGGCAGCTTGGTTGAGTATTGAACGCGAGGATGAGAGACGAATGACGAGCGAGGGGAAGGGCAACAATTGTCTTGCGTGAGTTTCGTCTCTCGCTTACTAGTGCAACGTCTCTCGGACTTGCCCCCCCCCCCCCTTCCTGAGAGAGCATGTTCGGCTGACGCGATTCGACCCCCCCCCTATCGCCCACACATACGGCAGATTGTAAGTTCTCTTTCTTACTCGCTTTCTCAAAGGGAGAATCGAGGAGAGAAGGGGAGGGGGGGAGAGCCCACGTTTCCTCTCTCTCTCTTTCGAGCGAGCGAGCGAGCGCGGGGGACCTTGCGGGCCTTCCGAGCGGTACAGCTTCCTCCAAATCCCGGAGGCCTAAGTCAGCCCTCCCTGACGCTGACTTTCCGCTGCCCCCCCTCCCCCCCCTCCCCCTTACGAACACACGCATCTTGCTGATACACACACACA